AGTGGGAGCAGTCAGGCTGGTATATAGCACGGGCTTATCGTTGTTGAGTATGGTGAAGATAAGAAGCCGCGTATGACGATCGTGGCTTTTCCGAGGAGTATCCACAACACTCAACAACTAAATACATGATATCCAATACCAACGATAGTCAAACTTGATAATTGTTCCTCGCACCGTGAAAGTCTGAAGAGTATGGATTTTCAATACACGAAAATCTTCTCGGGAGACATGAGTCTGTCGACGCCTTGTCGGGAGGTGTATAGCGTAGTACTTCAGATAGAGAGCAAACTCGTATCAAACGCAGATGCAAATGTTCTGTGTCCCACCAGACTCCAAGGCTGTCTGCGTGTCGCAAGGCCTAGTCTTCCAAAGAAACACACGTGCAGCGATGTCAGCGTGCAGCCTGACCGCTGAGCGCCTTACTTGCCCTATGATGATGGTGGGGGAGCGCCCATTGGCCGTGCGCAGCCTTCGCCACAAGTAAGAAAATTGATTCACAGGGTCGCATTGTCTGATCGGCCCTGACGAGTTCTTATTCTTACATCCTCTCCTTCTACATTACCAGCAGCGCTTCAATACTCCACTCGTTTTTCCATCCGAGTGTTGCGCTCTGAAGAGAACCTGAAACAGAACCTTTGGGTATCGACAATCGATAAGAGACTTAGCGGGGCACAGATTGACGTTGTTCCCAACCCTACGAAATTTCCTCCTCCTTCCACCATCCCAGAGTCTTCACTCATACACCACTAAGACACCATGGTCTCCGCCTCGAAAGCTGCCCGCCAAGCGAAGCGCGCCGCTGACGGCGATGCGAAGCCCAAGAAGACGGCCACTTCCAAGTTGTCGTCCAAGGCCAACTCCAAGAATGCCTCCAAGGCCAACTCTGAGAACGGCGACGAGGCCGAGGACCTCGAGCTGAACGAGGAGGTCAAGAAGCTCACCATGCAGGAGGACAAGCACGGTCTGTCTGACCGTGTCACCACCGGTGTGCTCGCCTCGCTCGAGCAGTCGCGCGATGTCAAGATCATCTCTGCATCGCTCGTCTTCCACGGAAAAGTCCTCTTCAACGACTCCACCCTCGAGATCAACTACGGCCGACGATACGGTCTGTTGGGTGAGAACGGTTGCGGAAAGACCACTCTTCTCAAGGCCATCGACAAGCGCGAGTTCCCCTTCCCAGAGCACATCGACATTTACCTGCTGAACCAGGGTGCCCCCAAGACCGAGTTGGGTGCCTTGGAGTGGGTCGTCCGTGAGGCTGAGAACGAGTTGGCCCGTCTTGAGAAGCTGGCCGAGGACATTCTTGAGAAGGATGGTCCCGAGAGCCCTCTTCTCGACGACATCTACGAGGTATGTACCAGTCAGATCGAACCAAAGTAAACCTTATTAACCCTTTGCCAGCGTCAAGAAGACATGGACCCATCAACCTTCCATACCCGCGCATCTCTCATTCTCACTGGTCTCGGCTTCAACAAGAACACCATCAACAAGAAGACAAAGGACATGTCCGGTGGATGGCGTATGCGTGTCGCGCTCGCCAAGGCGCTGTTCGTCAAGCCTGCCCTCCTGCTGCTCGACGACCCCACTGCCCATTTGGACTTGGAGGCTTGTGTGTGGCTTGAGGAGTACATGAAGAAGTGGGAGCGCACTTTGGTTCTCGTGTCCCACTCCATGGACTTCTTGAACGGTGTCTGCACAAACATGATTGACATGCGTCAAAAGAAACTCCTCTACTACGGAGGTAACTACGACACATACCACAAGACTCGTACTGAGCAGGAGGTCAACCAGACCAAGGCCTACGAGAAGCAGCAAGATGAGATCAAGCACATCAAGAAGTTCATTGCTTCCGCTGGTACCTACGCCAACTTGGTCAGGCAAGCCAAATCTCGACAGAAGATTTTGGACAAGATGGAGGCTGACGGTCTCATCGAGCCCGTTGCCGTTGACCGTGTCTTCACTTTCCGTTTCGCCGATGTCGAGAAGCTGCCACCACCTGTGCTTTCGCTCGACGATGTCACCTTCTCTTACTCTGGAGACTCAAAGGATAACCTGTACGAGAACCTTGACTTTGGTGTCGACATGGACTCTCGAACAGCTCTTGTCGGACCCAACGGTGTTGGAAAGTCGACTTTGCTCAACATCTTCACTGGAAAGCTCAGCCCCACATCTGGTGTCGTATCGCGCCACACTCACTTGAAGCTCGGTGTGTACAGCCAGCACTCTGCTGAACAGCTCGACCTCACCAAGTCTGCCCTCGACTTCGTCCGCGACAAGTTCCACCACATCAGCCAAGATCTTCAGTACTGGCGTCAACAGCTCGGCCGTTACGGTATGACTGGTGAGGCCCAGACCTCCAAGATGGCTACTCTGTCCGATGGTCAGAAGTCCCGTATTGTCTTCGCCCTGCTTGCTATTGAGGGACCCAACATGTTGTTGCTCGACGAGCCTACCAACGGTCTGGATATCCCAACCATTGACAGTTTGGCTGATGCCATCAACGCTTTCAGCGGTGGTGTCGTCGTTGTTTCTCACGACTTCCGGTATGTTCCTCGCTCGCCTAACACTGTAATAGCCTACTAACAAACAACAGATTGCTCGACAAGATTGCGAAGGATATCATGGTCTGCGAACACAAGACCGTCCGCCGGTGGGACGGAAGCATTGGCGAGTACAAGAACCATCTCCGCAAGAAGATGGCATCGACTGGTGCTCTCTAAGCGGATTTTGGGAGTGTTTTCGCTAGTTACACGCGTCCTCCGAGCTGCGGAACGCAGGTACAACAAAAAGTAATGGCCTTAGAGCAGGTTTTCAGGATACCTCTGCAGTAGGCCGGCAGCTCATCGCTACCTGCGTCAGTGTCGTTCTGCATGGGTAGAGACATCTGGATTATGCGTTATGATGCATTGGTTCTTAGAGGAGTTTTAGATTTGCCTTACGATCAGAATGATATCACATAGAAGCATATATTGTTGTTACCCTTGTTGTGAACGCTGACAACGTAGCTAGACGTCATGTTTGTGGTCGTCGCGTTGAATACATGCGCATAATCGGACAAGGGAGCGCTTGCATAGTCGTTTTGAGGGTAGGGAGTGCGTGTATGCGGTCTCCGGGTCGTAAAGTGTTCGGCACGTGCCGATTGGCGAAAGCTATGAGCGTGACGAACACCCCCGCAAGCTCCGCGGTAGTGGAGCTTGAGCATCTACACCCAAACCTCTCGTTGCCATACTTCCAGACCATCGCTCTCCAGGCCTTTTACCCCCACTACATTCACTAGAACCCACAATAACCCCGGAGACATAGTAGCTGTTATAAGGAGAGTGTGATTTATTGAGATCACTTCCAGCCCGCCATGGCTGAACTCACAAGCACGAAGCTCAATGCGGAGTCGCATCTACTCCTCGTAATGCCTATTCAGATACCTTAGTGTACCCACACTCCATACTAACACGATTGTAGGATCAACCTCTCCTTCGCATGCCGTACGAGCTCTCCCGGCGCAATTTCAAAAACGCCCAGCGCGTCATCGAGCATTCCTCCAGCAACCTTACCACATCGTTAACCGCCGCCACCAAAGCCGCCTCTAAGAACGCCTCTCCAGAAGCCACACTCGATTCCCTCGACTCCATGATAAGCAAGATGCAGGGCCTAAAGCGCAAACTAGAAAATCTCCACGAAGAAGAAACGCGCATCCACCGCTCCGCGAAGGCGCGCTTACAACACCTGCAAGATCTTTACGAGATCCAGAGCCTTGTCGATGTCAAGTACGACGAGTGGTCTCGAACGCGATTAAGTCGTTTGCTTGTTGATTACCTGTTAAGAGAGGGTTATGCGGAAAGTGCGTCGTGTTTGGCAAAGAGCAAAGGGATTACAGAGCTTGTGGATGTAGATGCGTTTGTGGCGTGTCATCGGATAGAAAGGAGTTTGAGAGAGGGCATGAGCACGTCTTTGGCGCTTGAATGGTGCAAGGAACATGGCAAGGAACTCAAGAAGGGGGGTAGCATGTTGGAGTTTGAACTCAGGTTACAGCAGTATATCGAGCTGGTCCGACAGGGACACGAGGCTGGCTTGAGCGGGATGGATGGATTAGAGACGCAAGACGACGGTATGAATGGCGTTAGCATTGGGGGTGGAGGCGGAGAAGCAAAGTTGGTTGAGGCAAGGGCTCATGCTAAGAAGTATCTCAGTACAAGTGGGGATTTCGAACTGATGAGGAGGGCAGCGGGCATGTTAGCGTATAGGCCTTGGGATGAGGTGGAACCCTATGCTGTAAGTTTTTCCAAAACAGCATATCGTTCCATATCTAACAACCTTCTAGTCTCTCTACTCGACTTCACGATGGTCACATCTAGCCGACGTCTTTGTCCAGACACATCACAACCTCTACGCTCTACCTCCACGACCGCTCCTCCACGTCGCCTTGAGCGCTGGTCTCTCCGCTCTTAAGACACCCGCTTGCCATTCCGCCTACACACCCTCTTCCACGAATGCTGCTTCGTCTACTACAACCGTCTGTCCGATATGCAGCACAGAGCTCAACGAGTTAGCGCGCAACGTTCCCTATGCCCTCCACACCAAATCGATTGTCGAAGATGGACCTGTAGTGTTGCCAAACGGTCGCATATATGGCTCCGAGAGGCTGCGCGTCTTCAACGAAAAAGTCGGAACAGAAGAAGGCTTCGTAAGAGATCCGGCTGGCGGACTAAGCGGCGAGAGATGGCATGAGAGCGAGGTCCGAAAGGTTTACGTTATGTGATGGTTTCTCTCTTTCTCTTTCAACGGCATTTGTATGATTATCGGGTATAGCGTGGCGTTTTGGTATATGCATATACCCAGCGCGGGATGGGTCTGCGTCTTTGGTCCTATCATGTGGTACAGTAGGATCTCAAAGCTTTCGCGGTTGATCAAGTTCAATTACCGCTTTCCGCTTAACCTGCAAACATGTACTCGTCCAACATTGAGAGTGGTGCCCGACAGTGTTCGTATCCGCGATTGCAGGCTCACTCATCGTCGTCTTCCTCTTCCTCTTCTCCTTCCATTGCTCTCTTCATTGCTTCTTTCTGGCTCGGTAACCGTCCACCCCTCCCCACCTTTGCCTGCCGCGCCATCTCCTTCTCTTCATCGCTATCAGCCACAAGCGGAATTTTCTCAAACATGAACATGCGTGCAGCTCTGTCCTCGCCCTTCCATCCGGTCTCCATGGCGCCCAGAGTCCTGACATGATGGTAGCCGGGATACTGCTCCCAATCAAACTTCCAGCTCTCCACCACCCTCAACCCAGCATGTCTCGCCAGATCGCGGATGTTCCACAATGTGTACGGTTCGCCCTCGAACAGCGTGACAATGATTTTTCCGCCCATGCGTAGGAAGGGCCTTATTGTCTGCTGAGGAGCAGCACGTTTCTCCTTATCTGCTTCTTGGTTTCGCAAGATTTGTAACCGCCGTTTCTGGTTCGACGTGTCGAGACAAGACTTGAAGAAAGATACTAGCAGAGCTTGGTTCGCGCGGACTTGTCTGTTCACGTCGGTGGAAAGACCGCCTGTATGGGGAAACATGAATGTGATTATATCCCAACCCTCGTCGTCGTCATCCTCATCACGTTTACACCGTAACTGTTTATAGCTTGAAAGTTTGGTTGCATCGATGTCGTGGTGGAGAGGTACCGGCGGTGAGAGTGCCGAAAGTTCGGCTTGTATCTCTTTGAAGGTAGGGTATTTGCTGTGGAGGTCTTCTTCGTCGTCGTAACTTGTTGCGGTTACATTTGCGCAGCCGTGTTCTATGGCTAAGGAGCGGGTAAAACTGAAGTCGCCTTCGCCGACAAGGAGGATGTGGTCGTATTCGCCGAATGGCATTTTGCGCTTCTGCGAGGGCTGTACGTGGGCAGATGTGGTCGTAGATGTAGTTGCTGCTGCGACTGGTGCGCTCGTCTTCCCGTGTTTCTTCTTCGCAGGTGCTTTCGCAGTAGGTTTCGCCTCGGCGGCTGCTTTCGCGTTCTTTTTGTGGATCGCGAAGATCTTCTTGTCTCCTTCACGTTTGAGCTCACGGCGAGCGCGCTTAGTCTTTGTCTTGGACATATTGCTGTGCCTGCAATTGCTGGACAATTGGATGCGCCTCGGAGGTTTGCGGGGAACGGAACTTTGACGAAAATCATGAGCTTGGACCACACTTTTAAGCAGGGCTCAGGATCTGCATGTGAAAAGAGGGACCGAAGAACGTGGGTATTGTTGGCTGCACAGAATGCAGTCGATCAGCCCTTCAATCAATATTCAGATAGATGCAGACATGATGATTTGCTCTAATGACTAGAATGTACAGTGGACCTGGTGCAGCAACCGCAATTTGCAAGCCGGCACGTTCAAACAGTTCAATGAAACATTATTGCGACCGCTTATATCAAGTCGCGCTTGACGAACTGGTCGTAGAGAGATGAACCAAGCTTGGCGGGGGAGCGCTCAACGGTGACACCAGCAGCCTCAAGCGCGGTGATCTTGGAGTTGGCATCGCCCTTTCCACCGCTAACAATAGCACCGGCGTGACCCATCCTCCTGCCTGGGGGCGCGGAAATACCAGCAATGAAACTGACAACGGGCTTGTTGGCAGTGTTGTACTCCTTCAAGAAGTCTGCAGCATCCTCCTCAGCGGTACCGCCAATCTCACCAATCATGATGATACCATCAGTCTCTTCGTCCTTCAAGAAGACGTTCAGGCAGTCGATGAAGTTGGTTCCAGAGAAGGGGTCACCACCGATACCGACGACCAGCGACTGGCCAAGGCCGGCTTGGGTAGTCTGGTTGACGGCTTCGTATGTGAGAGTTCCGGAACGGGAGACAATACCGACGCGGCCACGCTTGTGAATGAAGCCTGGCATGATACCGATCTTGCATTGGCCCTGTTCAAGTCAACAACATGATCCAACAAACAAGGTTCGGTGGAGAACGTACGGGAGCGATGATACCGGGGCAGTTGGGGCCAACCATGCGAGACTTGCTCTGGGTCTTGAGCATATCTGTGATACGGACCATGTCTACTTCTGTCAGCCCGTATACCACAGTGTGCTAGTGCGTTTCATACCGTGCTGTGGGATACCCTCAGTGATACTGTGTGTTGTAAGCCTCCATATACCCAAGTTTGATATATACACCTACGTCACAATCAGGGGAACCTCTGCGTTGATGGCCTCCTCGATACTGGCGGCAGCGACCGGTGGGCTACAGTAGTGTCAGGTCACATGGTCGGTATAGAGTCGTAGAGGTGTTTAGCGTACGGAACGAAGATGGCAGTAGCGGAAGCTTGAGTCTCCTTCATGGCCTCTGCTACGTTCTTGAAGACGGGCAGTCCAAGGTGTTCAGTGCCCGCCTTCTTGGGGTTTGTGCCTCCAACAACCTTTGTGCCTGCCGTCCCGTCAGTCCTCCCCCTCACAGGTTTATGTCATCGGTTTCGATGGGCGCATACCGTATTCAATCGCCTGTTGTGCGTGGAAGCTGTTCCTGCATTAGCATCTCCTTCCCTTGTCGAATCTTCCACTCCCACTCACGTTCCCTGCTTTCCAGTGAAGCCCTGGAACAGGACCTTGGTGTCGCCGTTGATGCGAAGGTTCTTAATCGTCTCGGCATATTGCGAGGAAGCGGTCGCATACTGCCTGGTAGCGGCCTTGGAGAGCGCGGAGCGCATCGGTTGCCGGATTGCCTGCATCGTGACGGGTATGGTGGTCACGAAAGCAACTCTGGGGTTTTTGGAGGGTATCGCGGGTCGGTTTAGTGGTGGTTAGCGGTTTGAGCGAAGCTGCGACATAGCGGGAGTTCTTCGGGGGAGCTTAGCCAGCCTAAAATCTCGTGCCAGGGTCCGTCCGCGCCCGACAACTTCACGAAAATAACTCGTTTATGTGCACCCTTTAGAAACGGGATGCAATCTGGTTGTACATAGTAAGGGGACAAATGGATGCGCTTTAAGACACTTTGTTCATCATGCGTAATTTGTTTGTCATCACTATTGAATGTTTGTTGAGTGTGGTATTACTAGCTGTGCATGTGTTCAACTTTCGATTTCAATCATGTTACACAGTACGTCTCGCAGTAGTAAGATATCTACAATCATCACATAGCATAGCCAGACAAATACGAGTCATTGCTTTGGCTTGTAGGTCTGTGATTGTGCCATTTGCTCTTACTGTACAGTTCCCGACACACTGAGCTAGGTGTCTGACCGATGATGGAGGGATATGTCTCTCAGTTGTCAACTCCACAGAGTCAAGATGTGAGACCAGTGATACAGTACGGGCAATCTAGCGCAAGGCGTAGTCAACTCTGAAATGTTCTACACGTTTTATACACCACAGATGGACACCTGCGCATTTAGTCATTGAGCTTGCCGTAGAATGGGATTCCGATGGCCTGGAGAAGTAAACGTGCGTCCTTGTTGTTGGTGGCATCTGTTTGGATGGTGATGTGGCAGCCAGGAATCATCTTAGGCGGGTACCTGAGATCTGTTAGTCAGGAAACGGATCATGAAAGAAAAGCGAACTCACGCATCATAATTGACCTCAATCTCCGGGAAGAGAGCGAGCTGGTCTGGGGTAAGACCAAAGCTCATATTACCGTGTCCGTCTCCAGACGAACCTGGAACACCCTTCCACTCCTTGATTCTCGGCAGGACCACATCGATGAGCTTTGCCAAAAAGTGCTCGGCATCTTCCCGCTCCATTTTGGCTGTCACGGAGACATATCTGCCCGCACGCAATCCCCACCCAATGACATTGTGCTTTGCCTTGTGGGATGTAGCTCGTACGTTGCTGATGGCTTGTAGGATCATACCCGCAACGTGCAGATTTCCACTATTCTCTTGGGCTTCTGGTACCATGGAATGAACTGTGACGCCTGTGATCTTGGGAACATTGCGGAAAGTGCGGGGCTCTTGGAGCAGCCGAAGTACCTCACCCTTACCACGTGGAGGCCTTAGGGGACGGTTTTTGAAGTATGGAGAGTCACCGGTCCATTCTCGCAGTCTTTGATCTGTTTTGGCAGCCCGGTATCCTGGGGGATAGTGCTGGTATGTGAGGGTGAGCAGGTCGGATGCGATCTTGCTCTGATATGTTTGCTCGAGGCGGGAGAGACTAAAGGGTCCGGGTTGGAAGAGTCGCGATGAGGGGTCAGACTCTGGAGGCGGTTGATGAGGGTGAAGAGGACCCCGGTAGTATTTGGGCGAACGGTATTGGTATCTGATGTCTATGAGCCCATGCTTGAGTGGTGTCCTATCTGAACGCCATACCTGCTTGGTGGCAGCTGCTTGTTTCCTCGTCTCCGCAGTCTACTCCGTGCTATGGGGTCGTAGTTCTTTGCGAGTTCCTGCGATGGCGCCGGGATCTCGAGTGATGATGCATCCTCAATTTCACGGACTGCTTCGGTTGAGGCATTGCGGTGGCACAGGGGAGCGGCTGCGCGGATGGCGGGTCTGGTGTTGTTCCGAATGACCGCGGCGGTCCGGAATGGCAGTTCGCGCAGTGCCATGGCTGTGTGATGCGACGTCGTGGTGGGTATGGCCCTCAGCAGCATGCTACACAGTCTCGAACGGACTTTTCCTCGGAATACGCTATACGCGAGACGCGAGAGCTGCAGGGATGGGCGGCGTCTAAGGGCCGCGACTAGCCAATAGGGCTACCCCACTCGTCCGCACCTGCCTCTTCTCCAGGTCAGCTTGCGACATGCGGCTGATCGGGATCTGGGACCTGTATCTTTCTTTTGCGGTCTTGGGTTGAGGTCATTGTTCACATCTGCCTCCTTAGCTGTGCGTCATAGCTACCCTTCACCGACAAACCCCGTCTCCCACCAACCAAACACACAACCACCCTCTCGCTTCCCCACCGACCACCGAGCTCAGGGCTCGTCTGCACCTTCCTCGACCACCACACCCCGAGCTCGCTGCCTACCCCGCTACCCACCTGGCTGCCCTCATTCTGCCAGCGGCCGCGGACCTCCACTGAATGGGTCTCACCTTCACCCACCACCACAACCATTATGAACGGCATGTCGCGGTTCCTCAGCCGGCGCGACAAACACCATGAAAAGCGCGCGTCCAAGCACGCCAATACCAAAGTACGCCTAAGCTCTTTCGCTTCCGTCAACTCCCTCAGTCCTCTACTATGTCCTGCCGTTGCTACAGCGCCGCAAGACTCTCCTAGCTGTCCACGGCGGCTGTCTGCAGGCATCGAGACGCTGTATCATAAGCTCCCATTTGTATCGCGAACGTCGGTAGAGGATAGTCTTCTATTTCTACACCAAAAGCTATCATGTCGCGTTTCTTCCCTTACTCCCAGCGCCGATCAAACCTCAACATCGCATTCTTCTGACTATGTACTTGTGCAGTCTAAATCCAACAACCCTTCGCCCGATCTCTACAAAATATTCACAAACGAAGGCCCGAGGCCGCCAGCCAATGTTGAAGCCGAGAAGAAGGTATGCAAGGAAACAAGGCTGAGCGGTATCATATTGATTGGTGTAGGTCAAGATGCTCCTTTCACGCCTACAAGGCGTCGGCATAACGAGCATGGGCGAGGAACAGGCGGAACATGCTCTCGCCTGGCATCCCAACGACATCGACAAAGCATACGACCTCCTAGTGCTTGCCAATGAGTCACTCGAAGGTGAACTAAAGGACTACAACCCAGATGTAACCATGTTGGGCGCCATAAATCGAAATATGGTGACATGTTACCTCGACGCATTATTGTTTGCCATGTTCGCCCGTCTCGACAGCTTTGAAGCCATGTTGTATGACAACTTCGAAGATGAGCCAAGAAAGAAGCTGGCGGCTGTCTTGCGCCTATGGGTCAACCTCCTGAGGAGTGGACAGCTCATCAAGGTCGATCTGGTACCATATACCTTGTTATCCAGCATGTTCATGACTAATGCGCATCGTAGACAAAGCACCTCCAAGATTCCCTTGCCAAGTGCGGGTGGGAAGATGCCGGACAGGTCCGCCAACAAGACGCTTCAGAAGCCTTTACTTTCATCACCGGTGCGCTTGAGCTGCCTCTGCTCACACTCAAGATGGACATTTACCATACTGGACGTGAAGACAAGGAAGATGACCACAAGTTCGTCAACGAGCGCCTGCTCGAGGTCGCCATTCCAGAACAAGAAGGCGACGATGTTGTCACATTGGAAGACTGCCTGGAAACCTACTTCAATAACAGAATTGAGGTCAAGCGCTACCTGCAACGGCAAAATACGATAGCTTCTGTCAAGTCCAAAGACGACGAATTTGTAGACAAGGATCCTGAGAAGAATGAGACCATCCATATTGAGACCATGGAGATGGAAGGCTCAATGACTCCCATCGTCTCGACGCCGATGACTTTTGAGCCCACGACCCCAGTAACTCCAACACGGCCCAATCTGGAGGGTCGCCGCCGTGCTGATAGTATCTTCAGCCAGCGATACACACGCCAGTCCCAGGACACAAGCAAGTTTGACGAAAAGAAGCATGTGCAAGACATGCTAGACAACAGCTCTGGCGGCCGACCGCGATCAGCTTCTCTGCTTAAGAAGGAGATTCTAATGCCAGCTTGGCAGTTCTTCAGTCTTATACCCTGGTATACCGACAATGTGCCGAAGACAGATGCTCAAGTTGCTGCACATTTCTCAGTAAAGCGTCCGGTGCTCGGTATATGCCTGAAGAGATACACGATGACCCCAAATGGCACTCCGAAACGCCTTGATACTTATATTGATATTCCGCTTGACATTGGCTTGCCTCACTTCATCTCTGATGACAGGATGAAAGAAGAGGGTCCATTGTTCGGCAATTTCAAGCTAGTTCTCCAGTCTGTCGTATGCCATCGAGGTGTGTCAGTCGATTCTGGGCATTACATTGCGCTTGTCCGCGCCAACGCTCGCGAACGCCCAGGCACCGCACAATCAGATTCTGAGCAAGAACAGGAGAAGTGGATACGCTTTGATGATCTTTCACCTCAACGAGTGACTGAAGTCGATATCAAAACAGCCTTGCGAGAAGAATCACCGTATCTGCTCTTCTATCAGGTACAGCCCATTGACGAAGAACTCGCTTCCCGGGGAGATCCTCCGACCTATGCAGAGGCGCAGTCTGGTGTACCGTCGGTTGATCCTTCACGGGAAACGTTATCTTCCCTGAATTCTACAGCAGCAACGGATGCTGAAGCTGGTGCAAACAACGAAAAGGTCAACATGGCAGATGTACACACCGAGTCCAACTCGACAGACGAGCCGGCTAGTCGAACCAGCATGTCCAGCAATCGGCGTAGTAGCACCGCGATAGAGGATGGCGAAGGCAGCTTACGTGGCCGAACGGAACCGCCAACGCCAGAAGACCAGAAGGGCAGCTTTTTGTTCGTGTCCCGACGCGGCTCTCGGATATGGTTGTCTGGGAACAACAGAAGTCGACCAGGTAGTCCAAGCGGCGAGACCCGTTTGTCTCTTACTTTGTCGAGGCTAACGGGACGCGGTAGCAAGGACAAGCTGGTTACGACTGAAGCTACTACCAACGACGAGCCTACTATTGTGATTGACAGAGTGAAGAGCGAAGAGAATGATCAGCAAGACAATTCTCCGACCAAAGACAAGAAAGAATCCGGCCTTGGACGCAGCAAGAGCAAGAAGGAAAAGAAAGACAGACGGAGAAGTAAGAGTAGAGATCCTGGGGCTTTCCTAGAGAAAGGCAAGCACAAGGATAGACCGGATCGCGAATGCCTGGTGATGTGAGGGAGTCAGGACTTGTGTATACGGGGGAAGGTCCGTCCCCAGTTTTGTTGTTTACTTGCTTGCATTGCATATCGCCTCGACACTATTCTACTACATGGTGTCTACGAAATCGGCGGAGGAGTTTTTTGAATCATTAGCGCGGCGTTATTGGAACATAAGATTATCGCTCCATGTTGGATCTGCGACAGGGCATATGCATATTGGAGTACTATAGATGAGATACCCTGAATCGAGACAGCCGGAAAGAATGAGTGAAGGCTTCGGCTCGAGATGTCTGTGCATTCGATAATTTGTGATGCGCGTTGGAGTCCTTCTGTGGCGCCTGCTACCATGTGTTCAGAGAAGGTATTAGACAAGACTAGAAGAGTGAATGCCTGTTAGGGCTAGCCAGCGGCGGGCAACCTTGGAACAACCTGGCCTCTTGGGTCGGCGCGCTAATGACGACCCTCGCCCACCACAAAAGTCGCCCGCTTGTTCCCTTACCCTCTCACCCACGTTCTGCGCAACCACATCTCTATCTCCAGCCTGTTGTTAGACGATCGCGAAAGCGAATCTCAGTCCTCCTCCCGAACCATCCGCTTCAAACATCACAATGGCGATCAGCCCGCAAATGTACGCCGAACGTACCCCCGAGTTATTGAAGACAGTTGGCTGATTCCATTGCAGTTCCAACCTGGTTATTATCCTAGGGTTTATGCAAATTTCGAAAAAGATACCGTTCGACAACGAGAATGTCCTCAATGGCGTGCGCGCGCTCTACATCGTCTCCAACCTGATCATCGTGGGTATTTACCTCTACGTCCAGGCGCAGATCAACAAGAAGAATGGTGCGTCAAATAAAGCCTAGTGGTTCCCCAGGCAGTTGCAGCGGCTAACACAGTACAGACATGACCGTCGTCAAATACGTCGAGCCCGCTCCGATGGGCTCCGGCGAGGAACCAAAGTTCGTCGCTACCACAGTCAAGGCCTACGATCTCCAGAAGCTGCGCGAGCTCTTCAAGGCCCAAATGATGGGTGTCGGCATGATGGGTGTGATGCACCTCTACTTCAAGTACACCAACCCGCTCCTCATTCAGTCCATCATCCCCCTCAAGGGCGCTTTCGAAGGCAACCTCGTCAAGGTCCACCTCTTTGGTCAGCCCGCAACTGGCGACCTTGCTAGGCCATGGAAGGCGGCCGGCGGTATGATGGGTGCTATGGGTGGTGGCGAGATTAAGACCGACAAGAAGAGCATCGAGGCTGCTGAGCGTGCTGGCCGCGGTGGCGTCAAGGACGAGTAGACGGATTCTCGTACCTTGTAAACGTTTTTATGCAAGGGATTCTTGCATGAGAGCTGTCTTCTTGATAGGGAATACCTAGTCTACCGGACTTGTGGGTGTGATTGAGCGACTCATGCGCCTGCTAATTGTATAACATAAACGTTTTATGCTGCTATTGTTCTTGACTTGTGATGCTTTATCTTTCTCAAAATCGTGTACAATCATTTCACCTCCTAGGGCCCAGCCCTACAGCTCTCTCATCCAGAAAAACAGCTATCCTCTATGTTCAGTCTATAAACTCCAAATTCACAATCAGCCATGAGTTCCGCGCCAACCAGTACGCCTCTGATCACACCGATCCTCATGTTGTGTAGGTCTCCAAGAAACGCCATATTAAACATAGTACCTAACCAAGAAGAATGGTGGGAAAAAGCGCTTCAAGTTCCCATGCAGCTAGTATCGAAAACAGAAAACGATAGCAACAGCGTTGTCGACCAGAGACTTATCGCCGACATTTCCGTCGGCCGTGGGTTGGATACGGTAGACATGGCTCTCGTCTCTTGCTGTGCGGTCGAGTACCACCTTGTATGAAGTGAGAGGACTGCTATACTGATTTCTCAGCTCTTTGCGTGGCGTATGTATTCGTTCAACGTGTCTCGATGTTCGGGGGTGGTTCAGAATACGGTGAGTATTGCTTGATCCGCTTCTGCACTGCGAATCATCCAAGCCACTGAGGAAAGTAGCCGTCTTGTAACGGCATTGCAGCAGGCTCGTTCTCGTAGTTGAAAGGGTCGCCCCAGAATCCCTGCCTAGTTAGCCAGGTACACTCAATGATCCCAAAGTATCGCTTCACTTACAAAGTCGAAGTCGGGGATTACATCTGTGTTAGCTTGTACATCGCCTACGATGTTGTTAATGTTGCTAAGGTTTATATCATCCCAGCATGGTGCACGATCCTGGATGGACTGCATTGATTGCAGTAAGTCTGGCTCAGTCGCCATTGCTTGAGGTTGAGAACGTCCTGAGATAGGCTGCCGGTCAAAGGTCGCAGACGAGTTTTGGAAGGCGTAGCTTGGAATAGCTTGCATCGCCGGATATACGCTCGTGTTACTGCTCGATGCATTGTTCATCGGCACGGATATGGATGGCACCATTGGTGGATTGATGTAGTGGCCCGTAGGCTGCGACGTGCTCCTTGGGGAGAGATTATGTTCGGATACAGCCTTGTCGATCATGTTCTTCACAGCTTGCCATGCTTTGGCACTGTTGTTTTCTCGAAGTATTCGAGACATCTGTAGAGCTCTAAGCGCGCGTTGCCGGTCCGGTGCGTCGAAGAGAGGGTTGCGAAGTTCCGATAGGATGTGCATGATAGCCTGGAAGGAAGCAATCCCACCTTCAAGGATTAGCTCTTGTGTCTAGGAGTGTTGGTATTACTGACCAATGTGCCATTGAAAGCGAGCGGCGTCAACATCCGCTGCTGCTCCATTTAGTGTCTCTACACAGTTGACTGATTTCTCGAAGATCCTATCATGGTCAGTTGTTCTTGTTCTGCGAAGTAGGATATTGTGCTGTAGAGGTACGTACGACCGGCGAATCTCATCCGAGAAGACTACATCACGATAAGCACGCGGCATTCTAAGCCAGAACAGCAGGTAAGCGCGCCACTCCAAAAGCGAAGCCAGTCCCAATGTCAGCCTCTCCATTGGTACCTCCGGGGTTAGATATTGCAGGAATTTTCGTTGGTTCTCTTCATGAACTTCGTCAAGCATGACCTTGATCTGTTCGTAGAGATCTCTAAGCTCTTGTGCAGGATCAGGACGGGATGTTCCATGGAGCCCAGAGTCGAGCATACGTCTTTCGAGGCGGTAAGTACTCTGGATTATGCGTCGTAGGGCTCGCATGCCGTTGAATCTGACTAGTTGAAACGACATGGATGTGAACTTTTGTTCGTTATATGGGGCCGGACCAGGGCTTGCGCCATCTACCAGGTCTTCATCATCGATATTACGTGGCAATAGCGTAGTGTAGAAGTCTTCGGTGATGCTCGGTTCCTGCCCCTTACATTCTGCGGCCCGGAACTCCAAGTGGCCTAGCTGATGCCACATACGACGACGTAGTTCGATAGTTAAGGCGTCCATAGAACCGGTTGGGAACAAAGACGGATCTCGGTGCAGACCCTGGTTCAGAGCGATGCGAAATGCAATACCTATCAAAACCCACGCTTTGCCTACTATACGTGTAAGCGTTATTACATTACAGAGAAATGGTTGCGCTTACCCATGTCCTCTTCCCTGGTAATACAAGTTAACCACAGTACGAAACCCTGGAAGATCTCCAGACTTGATGTCGTGAGATAGTTTTCCCGGGCCAGCGAGATTTCAACACCCAACTGAAATCGATCGAGAAGCGATTCCTTAGTCTCGCCAAACTTGTTGTGTACTACCTTAGGGGGTAGCGAGTTGATAGCAGAGAAGTAGATGGCATATGCGAGAGGATGTGCTTCGTTGTTGTAGGTGGAAAACTTGCGGAGCACTGTTGGTCTATGTGTGATCCTAACCATCGGGTCTACGTTTGCGAAATAGACGTCGAGGAGCGTATCACGATGCTCTTGGGTGCTGGGCAATAGGTTTTCCAGATCTGATCCTGCTCCTGCACGACCCAGGGAGAGCAGATCAACCAGACTGCTTTGTGGTACTTCCTTTCTCTCTTCATCGGTTTTGTCGCCAAGCAAAGCCTTGATGTCTTGTATCTAATATTCCATCAGCCATATTCCAGGTTTGAGAATTTAAAAACCAATAGTTCTGTATGTACCAGCTCTGTGGCTCCATCTGCGAAAGAAACGAGGCTTTGGGAAGCGACACTCACCTCATCAGCGAGCAATGCGAAATGCAAAGACGAAACAAATTGAGACTGTCCATCATTCAACAACAGTGTTCCATCTCCGCCATCGGAAGCTATTCCTCCTCCATGTGAAGTTTGGCTATTCGATGATGGGGTTAGTGCTTCCGCCTCTTTCCTATCGAAATCAACACTGGATCGTACGGATCCCGTGGGCTTTGCCCCCTGTCCTGCAACGGCTTTCTCTAAGAGATACTCCAATCTGTCTAAGCGAGCTTGCACGTCACTGCCTTTTCCGATCTTTCCATTGTTGTTCGTGGCTGTAGGTTTCGAAATCCTTCCAGTGGCGGTGGAAGCCGCTATCTGATCTGTCCAGGTACACACATGGTTTCCTCGCGTACAGGAACCACAGACTGGATGAACATGATCACACTTGACCTTCCTGCGTCGACACGTCAAGCATGACGAAATGACGCGGTGCCGCCCTCCACTGGGTTTGCTTGTTGAGCCTGGCGAATTAGACGATGTGCTGGTCTTCGTTTCCACCATGCTCGGGTAAGGGTTGTGACAGTCTGCATATGAGACTTGAAGTTTTCAACAGTGTGGATCGGTCGCCGGGAAAGAAATGGTTCCGTCACACCCTGAAGTTCGTTGCGATTCTCGCCCCACTAGCTGAACGGGCCGCCGTTACCCGTTTCGGCCTTAGTGACGATCAGCCTTGCTCCGAGAACGATCCGCCGAAACTTTGACACCAGACACCTCGGTACATACGAGAGCCTCATAGGTCGAACATCATCCAGTGTCTTTAGGCTTTGCTTACGAGCCCTGTGTCGTCATGGTATCACATGCCAAAGTACAGCCTCATTCTCGTTGGACAGTGTACAGATCTCACACTACAGCTTAGGTAAAGTTAGTAAGCGTGCGTCATATACCAGCGGGTGCGGTAATAAATCGCTATCAGTTAAGGGGTTTGATAGGAATCTCCGAGGTATCTCGCAGGTGTTTCATTTGTTTCAACAAAGACTCTTCTCAACATGATCCGGCGTAACAGCAGATTGTTTCTCTGCAGTCTTCCTTTCTGTGTCGTTGCCATGATCGATCATTCTTACTGAAGTCCTCAAGTCATTTCGGCTGTTCGTTATGTTGGAACATCTAGACGAGCGCGCAGCCTGAACGGTATAGAGTTGTAAGAGCGGGAAATTTCTCGAGAATGCAAAGAGGGAAGCCCAGCTGTTTGCAGACAATACGAGAGAGGATTTTAGGGATTTGCACATCGAGCCGCGTCTACGAAAGAGAGTCCTCCAGAGCCTTCTATCGATACTCACATTCGATGGAAGATTCGAGCTTTGGTTTCACAGTTCATAACGAGGAAGGAGATGCTCTCATGTTATACATGCCTTCGCAACACGACCCCAGGTACTGCTTATAGTCAGCGTCAGCCGCATGCTCACGATATGATCCTTTCCAGCCCCCGTTTTTGCTGGAACACTTCCCAAGCAGGAAAAAAACACCTGTGCTGACACCTCTTGCCCGCGCATGAGAACGACTGCGATGGGTTTATGTCGTCCACGCGTCGCATCAAGCAACGTTCTCCACCTTTTTGTTACACGACATCGGATCTAAGCCAAGCGTTTTCTTTTGTTGTACTGCGGCAGGGCCTCTTGCGAATCGAATCGAAGTTAACATGTTGTGGCATTGCTCAAAGATGCTAGACAGCGATCTAGTCCTTCGAGAACGAGGCTCTTGTGTAGAGATTGAGATCGAGATCAGTGTAGCGACTTTGAGCACTAAGGCGTGGTCATAAAGGATTCCACAATCGCCAAACATCAGTCGCGATATATGGAGGCTTGCAGAGGAAGCTTTTCTGGTCCATGCTTCTTCTCGTAGGCCTCGTCGTGATCAGCGCGTTTGTGGACGGAGCTGTAGGCAGCTCGATAGCAGCCAGAGGGAATAGTGACGGTGTCTTGCAGTCGTCGTCTGCTCAGAGGTAAGCAGCCCGAACCCGGATGCATGTTGTCGTGTGTGTACTAATGTATACAACTCCACCAAGCATTGTGGACGTGACACGGATGGGGGAGGGGGGGGGTGAGGGGGCTGGGGAAGGTAGGCGACAATGATTGGTGTATACGAGATGCACAGTGGGGGAGAAGAATTGCGGAGGCCGGGAGTATTGTGTACTCCAGGATGAGGCTTGCTGGCAATGGCAGAGTGCCTAGGTGGCCTTTGCACGATATGCTTTTGGAATCGGAAATTGCGTGTATCGATCAGGTACCATGTCAGTCAGCAGAATTGAGTTCGCAAACACGGGCAAGTCAGTGGCAGAAACGTGGTTTAAGTGGAGCCCGAGGTCGTGCCGTCGCGTTGTCGCATTCAGGTGACAGGTGCACGCTAGATAAGCGAAGCTGCCGAAAGCCTCCCTCTTTTCCACCCAATCGTGGACCCATCGCCGCCTGCAATGCACTTCGTCACACGTCACTGGTGTGATTGCAGCTCGTTCCGTCGCCTGCTCGCTCTGAGTGGTGCATGCTGAACCGCCAGGGCTTCCTTTCGCGGCGAGGCTGGGCCTAGATAGCAGCAAAAGCTTGCTTGCGCCATGCTGCCGTCCTTGGTGAGGGCCTGCCCACAAAGTCGTCCAGAGCCTCCAGTCATCTCTCCCAAGGCCATAGACATCGTCGGCCCCGCTGCAGCTTTGTCCGAAGCTGATCTGAGATGAGAGTGCGGGAACGGATAGCAGCATAGACTACCAAGAGGCTTCACCGCTGGCAGGATCATCACTGGCAGGATCAACATTGAGCGCATACCACAAGAGCAACATGCTCGCTCTTTGTTGAGATGGCGACTCTATCTCCTGGTGCGTGTGGGCATTGGGGCTATTGGAATATAGTGCGCTGACCAGGTCGCATCCATAGATGTCCGCGACTCTACTCTCAAGTCGCTCAAGCTCACCTGCCCCTCCGCCGAAGTCATCCAGGAACCACAATCTGCGTCGACGGTTGAATCGCCTGTCATGGAGCAACAAGGCTACCCATTTCCCGAAGTTGGCGACGAATGGTCCGACGAGGAGGTCCTGATTCCCAGGCATAGACGGAAGGCGCCCTACATACCACCCCTCAAGTTCGAGAAAGTCACTGCAACGTCGGCCGAAGATACATCGTCGGACGAGTCTGCAGCCTCACCTCGTCCGCACCGACTAAGCGCGACTATCAGCCCCCTCGTACCGCCCAAAAGTCCCTCGCGACCGGACGCGTCGAGGGGCAACAGTCAAGATGACCTCATACAGCGGTACTATTCAGTCACCAAAGAGCGAGATGCGCTGAGAAAAGAGCTACAAAGAAGGAGCATGGGTCCGCATGGCTTACCCGCCAAACGTACTGTCCTGTACAAGTCGGAGGAAAACACTCTGGTGGAAGAGCTGCACGCGCTGCGATACGAGATCCGCATATGGAGCGAAGAGTACTTTGGTGGGTCTGTCAAGGCTTCGAGCAAGCGTCCATATCTGCACAGAGCAAAGGAGCTGTTTGGGAACCTCACAGACAACTATCACATGTATCTAAAGGATCCAGAAGAGCGACCGCTTCTCATACAGGCCTATGTGTGGATGAAGCTGCAACAGAAGATCTTCAACAATTGGCAGAAGGGAAGCGGATATGTCTGGGCAGGAAAGCTGGGGGACAGGAAGCTACGTGAGATCAACGACACACTGCGCAAAGGTACAACCCCATGTGTGCTTCGATCGGGTTGTAAATGCAATGCTAACAACACCTAGCTGTCAAAAACGAGGCTGAAGCCGAAGAGTACCACCAATGGCGCGCCATGACTGTAAACCTCCTAGTCCCCCAAGTAGACGGAAAATGGCGTCCCACCTTCGATGCTGCGCCCGTCCTAAAACGAATATCCCGCTTCTGCAGTCGTATGCGGCGCAAACTACGGCCCTGGTCTACACATTCCTTGCGCAAAGGAAAGGAACAGCTGGGAACAATCATCTCGGCGTCTGTTGCGTTGGACTTGAAGATGAAGCGTCAGCTTGCCGACTATCGATTCGTTACATTTACTGGTGGTAAGAAGGACCAATACTGGGGCTATGGATTCTATGACAGCGAAATGGAAGACGTGTATGAAGATGATGACGGAAACAGCAGTGGAGGATACGGTGGCAGTGGCAGCGCAAAGGGCAGAAGAGTAGAATTGGCACTTGCGCCTGCACTCGAACGATGTGGTAATGCTAATGGACATGTCTTTGATCAGAGTTTCATGATGGTAAAGGCGGATGTGAGTTGTAAGAGGCTGGAGAAACCAAAGAAAGAGAAAAAACAGCAGCCTAGGTCTAGAGGGAGTGGCAGTAAGGGCTTCTCGCTAACTACGTGGAGGTAGAATTAATGCAACTATGAGACGAATAACAACACACCACTCAGCTTTATATCGGCTCCTTTCCTTTATGTTATCAAGTGTCTTGATTCTTATTGTTTCCTGTCTCCAAGTACTTTACGCCCATCGGGTTACAGCTCCGGAGTGCGAGCCTCATCGTACAGGAAGGGCCCAGTGATGCTCATGCAGCTGATGCTTACTAGTATGGATGCTGTGGCATAGATTTCACACAAATCTAGCTTAGTGATGAATCGTGTACACATCGATGGCCATCAAATGTTTAAATGCTCTCACGATTTGGTATTGAAATTGTATGCAGTCTACTCCGTTTTAGGCACGACGTGAACTTCCCAGTCAGCGCCATGCGGGCCCTTGACCGTTTCGCGTGGTGTTACGCGATGGAAAGGCCCTTCGTCGTTCGTGACACCGCTCTCTATAACGCCCTTCTTCTCGCCTGTTCGCAGGTACTCCAGGAAGGCAACCGATGTGTCGATGTACTCATGAAGCGCATCCTTGCTGTTCAGGGTTGTACCAGTAACCAACTTCATGATCCAAGGAACGATGAGAGGCGCATCAGTACAAGACGGATGAGCGGTGCCCATCAAGGTCATAAACCATCCCTCCTTTACATTCTCGATGATCTCCTTGACGACATTAAAATGCCATCCCTGTCCATAGAAACCTGTTTGTTTCTCTGTCCACTCTCCGCTCTGCATTACAAGTATTGGTACGTCTATATCTTTGTTGAGTGGTCCTGATCCCTTTCCAGGATCTAATGCAACGCCGCCGTTAATGGACATTTCCTTTGAGCCGGCAGATTTGAGCGCTTGCATCACGCCTGTCGCGCCATATGAGTGGCCTCCGACTGTGACCGCAGACAGGTTGAGACGGTTCTTGAAACCGGGTAAGGCATTGCGCGGTGAGCCAGGCTTGAGGTTCATGATCGGTGCGTCACCTGCATTGAGTTGCGCGAAGAGCTTGATTGTTTCGCTGATCTCAGCTTCACGGAAGTTGAGTTGTGCGGCCTTAAGGTCTAGGTCGGTCATTGGCGGGTCAGCTGCTAAGTCTTTGAGCTTCATGTGCCAGACTTTTCGTTCCGACCCATCAGGACGGTGAATGATAGTACCGGGTCCGCTTCCGTCACGATGTTCGATAGCAGCGACGACATAGCCGTGACTTGCAAT